AGGATATAAAATACTGTTTCTTAACACCTCCACTTATACTCAGTTCGCTGTAATTTAAACAAAATTAAATACACCAAAATAGAAAACAATGTGGACCCTGTCTCACACATTTCAAATCCCAAAAACAATGGGTGCAAACTCAATTAACTTTGTCAGAAGTGCCTTTTAAGTATCTTAACACTCATACCTTGTGTTAGCTGTTTAGCGAATAGTGTTGTTTGGTTTTTTATCTTTTTTGGGGGGTTTTATGCGACGGACCCTTCTTGTGGTATGATGTGTGGATTTTCAAATTAAAACTCCTTTCAGACCGGCACGGTTCAGCGCTTATTTTGACAAGGGACCAATTGGAACACTGTCTTACTTCCTGTGAGGGTGAACGTGCGCGTGCGCATTTTTGGAAAGCCGGAACAAGTGGCGCTAAGACCCCTCCGCCGAACTGATGTGAGAGGGGTGGCTGGGGAGACGTTGCTGTTTTGGTTCGCAAAGGGATGCAAATGTGCAGAAAGGCTCCGCCTCCTCAATTTGGTCGTGTCAGTGGAGCAGGAGAGCGCAAAGGGTTTTGACTGATCCGGATCATGGGTGCGAGGGTTTTGCGCTTCCCCGCTGACTTTTGCTTTCTGGATCCTTGCCGGCAACGATCTGATGCGCACGTCGACCGGAAATGTGTGTCGCGAGGCGTCCTCCCGTCAACTTTGCCCTCCCCCGCTACCTCCGCGGCCGCGTCCAACTGGCGCGGCGAATCGTGCAGCGGTCGCCACGGCAACAGGCACCGCGCAGTACATCGGCTGGCTTGTTGGGCGGCCCTTCCGTCCTCCCTCCCCGGCGTTAAACAACAACAACTCCACACAAAGCACGCCGTAATGTTTTTGCGCTTGAGCAGCTCATAGTGTTTTTGCACACGTGAACGGAGCCCAACGGAAACCGGCTGTCACACTTTGTGCCTTTTCCGGGCCTAACAGCTTGTTTATGTTCCCCAACTCACTGTGAAAGGATGTCAAGATGTCATGATCGTGTGAGGCGACCCTTACATAAGTCGTCACCTTACGTCAGGTGACCCCGACAGCGTTCCTGTCCCATGCACCAGGGGTCCCCAACCTTTTTTGCCCCACGGACCGGTTTAAGTCAGACAATATTTTCAGGGACCGGCATTTAAGGTGTGGCAGATTAATACAACAAAATAATATGGTATGAGCTGCATGAAAACTGTGGTGTTTTCGAAATATAATAATAAACACAAGGAGCGTCTAATCTGGTCGCAACACTCTTATCGCTCTGGTAATGTTTAATGCCTTCAAAATACGATACAACGCAAATTCAAAGTGCATGAAAATGACGACTCGCTATCGCGTTAAAAGTCCTTTTCACCATTTTTCCAGATTTTGGGGGGGATGGCTAAAATCAAGCCCAAGGTATGTACTTGGGCTTTCTGGCATTAGTCGGCTCTGCCCCATTACGTAAGCACTGAATGCCGAGGTTCCAGACAACCTGGGCCCGGTCCGTGGGCGAACAAGGGCCATTAGCTTGCTAGGCCCTGGACCGGTATTGGTCTTGTCCAATAAGTCACCACCTCACTCAGTTTTGTGGTGTGTGGTGGATCCACATAACAGAGACGTTTGGGGAAAATTGACTGCCTCATAAATGCAGTTGCACACGTTATTCAGCCTGCGCCTCAAGATACAGACAACAGAGCACAAACAGTTACATACACAGCCGCGTTGGCAGGATCGTTGCGCCGTCATGTGAAGGACTGGAGAGCAGTGATAAAACTAGCGTGGAAAAAAAATTATGGTTTGTGTCTTTTGTTCTGTTTGTTTGCTGGTGAACCAGAACAAGTTAACAAACAGCTCAGCTTTGCATGTAGTCTAGTATTTAACAATTCCAGTGAAACTCCTCTAGAACGAAACCTACATGGGCGAAAATAGCCCCTTATGTGAAAAAATCAAAATGCATCAACACAATTCCCATTCTACTGCCCCCCATACGACGAAAACCCCCCCTGTTGCGTTATACGAAATCATTTTCTCTGCTCCAGCCTCACGAATACATTCACTACAAAGAAGTCTTATCCAACAGCGACCTCTACTGCTTCGTTCGAAAAAAGGCAACAGCAACCACCACACTGGTTTACATAGTGAACGATGTTTATTTCGGTCACAGCTGCGAGTTTCCTGGACTCAACATACTCATAGCTGCTCTGCCATTGGCTTACCGAGCATCATCCTGGCCTCCGATTGGCCAAGAGGGACCTCACTGTCTATGTGTGTAGAGACTGAAGCTAGATCCGTAGCATCCGATCAGCTGCTCGGAGTAAATTGCTTATGGCTTGACGGACATTAAAATAAAAGAACGTTTCCTCGAATGCTTTACTTGTTATCATGCTAAAAACACCCACGGGACGCTTCGTAGTCCTCGATGGCCAAAGTTAGCTCTCGAAGGCGAAAAACCTTACGCTAACTGGAGCGCTAGCGTGAGGTTTTTCACCTTCGAGAGCTAACGATGGCCATCGAGGACTACGAAGCGTCCCGTGGCTGGCTTAAAAGTTCATTGCATGCCAGGAAGTATTTGTTATTGTTAGATTCAGACGAGGATGGACGTTGCATTGCTAAAATGGCTACAAAACGGACCTTTTGATGTCAAGCAGCTAAGACAAGAAGAGCTCTGATGCTGGAAGAGAGGGTAAAAGTGATCAAAATGAAAGACGGAGCAAGCAAAATAAAAGACATTATTCAAGAAATTGATGTCAGTGAAAGTGAATGCTGATCGTAAATTTCGCAATTTCTTTCCCTTTTTTCTTTCTACGCTGACAATATGAAGTGTCAAATAAGTGTGTGCTCATACTTTTGCACTATTGGAATAAAAATAGAGTACACATACGTTTGTTTGTGCGTGTACACATACGTTTGTGTGTGTGGGTGTTTGTGTGTGTGTTGGTGTGTGTGTGCTTACATCTGAGATCAAATTTGCTACAGTGAAAAATTTGCTGTTGTGAAAAATTTCTTGCTGCAAACATGATTTCGTTGTAGAGGAGTTTCACTGTACCACATGTAGTTTATTGAACCAAATTGAATCGACTAAAAACCTAACAAATACATTCCAATATGATCAGATAAAAAAAAGCAACATTTTCTTATGGCTCTGTCAGTTAACTTTAATTCTCAATGGGCACAAAAAACAAATTTCCCTTGTATAAAAACACCCATAACATGAATAAAAGAAGTCGGTATTATTCAAGGCACCATCAATAGACCATATTTTCTCTTTTGCAAAAGTAGGCTAAATTTACTTCAAAGACAAACAAATAATAGCAATTTTCGATCATTCACTCAACTAAGATATTTTTAAAACATAATTGGATTGAAATACACGAAAATTAAGTGCAAAAAATTATTTATATAAACAACACTTTCTTCAAGGAGAAGTAACATGCAGTTAAAGCAAATATACTTTAATTTTTAAACTTGAACTGAATAAAACTCTTAATATGTGATTGCACAGTAATCCTGTATTCACTTCTTTGAGGCTGAGGCTGATACTGGT